GCTTTGCAGGAACAACATTGATAACCAAAGATGCTACATAATGGATTAAGAAAGAAAAGTAGAAGTTATGTCCATTTAAGCACTACCGGATAGAAACAAGAACCTTACCTCTACAAAAAAAAAGTCAAATGGAGGGGTTGACAAGCTAAGTTCTCTTTCTGTCTACAAATAGAAACTCCCCCCGTCCCAAAATATAAGCATTTTATCATAGTGTCAAGTCAAACATTTTTAAATTTTACTATTAATGGAAAAAAATTAAAAAATATCAATCATATAAAATTGATGTTACTAGGTTTATCATTAAACAAACTATCATAAAATGTAACTCTTTTTATTTAAAACATCTTATTTTTATAGATATTATTGGTCAAAGACTGTGTAGAAGTCTAAAAATGCTTATATTTTGGGACGGAGGGAGTATATATTATAATAATTGCAATCAATTCACAAAATCTTAAACCACTAAAATATGCAAAAATACTAACATTAATATATTTTCAGAAATAAAGGCAATGAGAAATTGAGAGATCATGTAATCAGAATGTTTTCAAGTTCCCACAAAGAAATATTATATATATAGACACACACACATAGATATAAAATTTATTTTAGATAATTAGCAAGACCTCTCTTTATATGTGTATTTCCAATTTATAAATGCATCTAAGTAGTTGTAAGAAATTTATTTAGATTTCTCTTGACCTGAGGTACTATTATTTGACTTTATTTTCATGTCTTTAATGTTATTACTCATGAGTGCTTTTAGGTTTTTCTTAGTGAAGTTATCTTTTTAATCATGTTCATGGAACCTAGTATGACATACAAACAAAGATCCAAATGCACAAGAAAGACTCAAGATAAACCATGTCATACGTGAGTATGCATGTTTACACTTGTGTTTGTATCCATATCCTAGCTAGGTTAGAGATGAAAAAGTTTTAATTTGTCCTGAAATTTTAGTTATGATAAAGTTAGATTGACCACACCTAGGTTAAAAATGAAAAATTTTTGCTTCTCAAAAATGGAAAATTTATCTTCCAACTATTTTGACAAGAAATTTTTATGGTATAGAATTCGGGTATGTTACATTTAACTAATCAATTATTGAAGTATTTTATTATGTAAGTGATATTTCTGATTTATTTTATATAGAATCAGTTGCAATATTCTGGGTACAAAATATAAAAGCCCATGGACAAATCATCAGGGTTTTCAATTTTGAAATTGGTTTTTTTTGCCGGGGTGACAGAAATTACTGAAATTATTTGAAATTTTGACTGATTTTGAATGAATTTGAATAAATTTTGACCAAATTCAGAAAAATTTGCAAAAAACCAAAAATTTCAGGCGATATCTGAGCTTGCTGGTGGGGGGGAGGGGGTGAAATTACCAAAATTTCGGAAATTTCAAAACAAAATTTGAAACCCTGCAAATCATAACAATAAAATTTTTGTGCTTCAACATATCAAACTTTCTCAGAAAATTTGATTCTTTGAGGGCTCCATAAATAAAAATATTCAGCAATTTTAAAGGCTCTATAACCTAAATTCACATTTAGCCTATTAATTTCTTGTTGCCTTGTAGTCGTCACGGCCATTGGTTTGTGCCAGTGATTAAGTGCAGGATGGAGTAGGGAGGGTGAGGTATTAATTGGACTAAAAATACTAATTTAAGTGCAGATATATTCATTTTAACCCACTTTTGGTACATGTGTGTAATATACCCTTTTTTTTGCAAAACAATTTGGGGGTACAGCTGTACCCCCATGTCCCTATACTATGTCCGCTCCTAGCACCTATAGTGCCGACTTATATTTGGTGTTTTGTGGTGTCTGTGCTGACTTGTATTGGGTGTTTTGTGGTAGTGGACACCGATGGTCGCCGTCTCCTCTACTCATCATTGCACAGCGCCTCCACATTGGCCATCCCCTCAGCCAGATCTGACCGCTGCATAGGTCAGGGGTGCGATATATCCACACTGCGACGCTACTCCCTCACCAACCACAGCTTGCAGATGCTCAGGTGCTCAACAACGTATATGAAACTTATTGTAGTAGAGTTCATTTAGAAAGAACTGACGATATTGTGATGCTAACTATCAAATGACAATGTAGTTGAGGGAGCCAACTGACATATTTTTATTTCGTTAGAACTTATTATCATGAAATATCCTGCTAGAAAGGCATGTCTGCTGTTCTTCCTCGTTCTACTATTATTATTGGGGTGTTACGTCATTTATGGTATCAAGAACAATATATGTCTATAGAATAATTAATTAGGTCCAATGCCACTCTCCTAGAGCTCAAGTTGTGTTTCTAATTCACAGGTCTCAGTGGAAGAGGTCCTCTAAAAAATCTCAATGGAGGAGATCCTGCTGCAGAAATTTATGCCTCATGAGCTCATCGCAGAACAACATGGACAAAGCAATATGTACGAAATGTCCTGTTAGACCTGAAGATTCATGAGAGTATATGTGAAATTTGATTGGACCCAGTGGTCCATGCTGATAGATCCCAGATCAAGGTGCAATTTGCCAAATTTGCAAGGGTTAGCTGGAAGGATCCATAACTTCCTGTACCAAGAATTCCTAGTTCTGTTTAGGAATATATGAGGAATTTTATTTCTGTCGTGCAGGCAAAATATGACGATGTGAGGGCTGGAATCAGTTTGTATTATGTATACACATAGGAGTATAAATGTATAATGGAGTGTTTTGTTGTAGGTGAAATTTGTTAAGTTGATGGTCTCTTTTACGCATATGAACGACTATCATTAACTAACGATGAGTAAGTGCATACCGGTTATCTCTAATTCTCTATCATACACATAAGTTTGTAATCTTAGGTGATCCCTCTTATCCAAATAATAACATATATTAACTAGTGACCTCTCTTACACACATAAACACATAAGTTTGCTGACGATTTTGTTACACCGATAAACTCCTGGTGTTGATCCCTATTTTTTCAGATAATGGAATAGATAACTGATCCCTATTGGAACTGAGATGAGGTTTGTATAATATAGACAAGGGCTTGTCACCACCCAAAAACTTACCTCAAATATTTTTGATCCTTTGTCATCAAACTTCTTCAAAGCTCGATTGCAACTATGGCTAGCTACTCGATCGGTACAAGAGCTTGGGCAGGGGCCGCAGGGCAGTGTGGCACGGGCCCGACATGGTGCAAACCGCGCGTGGGAGTTGTTTGGGCTAGCGCGATTAGGAGAGGGAGACTGTGAACCTGCGAGGAGTCGTCGTTAGTCTCGGCTAGTCGGTACTGCATACGCGCATTATTTCCCATTTCTGGTTAGGTCTTATGAAAGCTAATAATACTTTCTTGAATATGGGTTCTTGGATAGTGAATAATGGGCAACAAACAAGATTTTGGGAAGATAAATGGTTAAGTAATCTGGCCTTTAAAGATAAGTATCCTTATTTATATGCTACCGTAAGAAGGAAGAATTCTTCAATTGCTACCGTCATGGGTTCTGTTCCACTTAATGTATCTTTCAGGAGAGCTTTAGTTGGTCAGAATCTTGTATTTTGTCATGATTTATGTGCGTCTATTATACATATCCAGTTGAATCAATTTTCTGATTGTGTCTCATGGAATTATAATCAGAATAGTCGGTTATGTGTAAGGTCAATGTATCTAGCTTTGATTAATAATGGATATATTGAGAGGAATAAGATAATTTGGAAGCTTAAGATGCTGCTTAAGATTAAAATCTTTATGTGGTACTTGCTTAAAGGGATGGTGTTAATGAAAGATAATTTAGCAAGACAAAACTGGAATAGCTGCTTAAGATATTGTTTATGTATGAAAAATGAGACAATTAACTATCTTTTTATTGATTGCCATTATGCAAAATTCATATGGAGAGCAGTTCAGTTTTCTTTTGACTTATATATTACTACTAGCGTTTCTCCTATTTTTCATGGGTGGCTGTTAAGGGTGGATAAGAAGAAAAGTAAACTTATATTGCTGGGAGCTTTTGCGAGATGTTGGGCTCTGTGGTTGTGCAGTAATGACATGGTTTTTGATAAATCACCATCTGTTTCATATATGCAGGCAATTTTCAGGGCGACATACGGGTTTCGGTTTTGGGCACAGTTACAAAGGTCTGATGAAGTTGCATTTAAAAGTTCCATAATTGAGCTTTTAAAAGTTGCATGCAGAAAGCTTGAGTCGATGGTTATACAGCTTTTTGCCAATTATGGATAAAGACTCACAAATAGACTTCAATAATATGTTCTCCATATGTTTTGTTGGTTATTTTTATCTTGATACGCTAGTTGCTATTATTTTTGGACTACACTTGTTTTGAGTGCTAGATTGTAATAATGGGCTGTAGCTCTTTTGAGCAAAGACCGGGATATTATATTCCATTATCTAAAAAAAATGCGAGCATTATTTAAGCGTTTTGATTCTACCTCTTACAAACGGATGATAGTTGGTGCCTCATGGTATATGGTACTAGATATCTTTTCAAGAATGGTAAAAACTCTTTTTAAGTTTAAGTTGATATGAAAAGCCGCCCAACTGCAATAGTAAAAAAAAGGTTGTCAGGACGACATGGAATAGGCCTGATCGGCTGACGATCGACACAGGTAGTTAGGTCGTTGATTTGGGCGATCGTGCAACGGGCATACTCCCACCAATTAACGAATCCATGCACGCTCACGCACACGCTTTTCGATCGGCCACCCCCACTATACACATATGCGTCGTCGTCTGTCTGTGCACTTTATACGCACTACGGTGCGTTGCGATTGGACGCGCCACTGATGCACTTCCACTGCAGCTACCGCTCTACACACGTACTAGCAACTAGGGCATAGGCAACTTTTGCTCTTTTGTTCTTTTAGGTGTTGGCCGGCCACCATCACTATTCAGCTCAGCATCTTAATTGGCACGTAGGAGATGAGCTAGCTAAGCCCCCTCGCTAGCTTTTTGGGGATATAAAACAGGATGGCGACGCTTCTGTGAAGAAAAGAGCCCGAGAGAGAAGAGAGAATCATGCTTGCACGGTGAGAGGTGAGTCATCATTCTTCATCGGAAGGTACGTGGAAACTAGACATTGCAATTTGCAGCTTTAGACCTTTTCTTACTCTTGTATGCAGAGCTAGCTGCAAATAACACAATGAACATGTTGCCTCAGCTGGTCGGCTATCTCGTCTAATGGATTAGACTTTTCTGGCTCATGCTTTTCCATTGCTGTGTCTTTGCATCACTTTGAGCTTGATGGAAAGGCGATACAAAGGATAAATCATGGCAAAGAATACACACAAGGGTATTCAGTGTTATGAAACATATCTTATTATGGACGAATTAAATTATAAGTGGGAAGCTTACTGTAGAAGAAAGCTTACACCAGAAGTCAGCTTACAGAGGAAGGCAGCTTATGGCGCAAGCCAGCTTACAGAGGAAGCAAGCTTATAAGAGAAGCCAGCTTACGACGCAAGCCAGAAGGTCCAAGGCATACGACGTAAGCCTCCACCCTCCTCCGCCTATAAATAGGGCCCAGAAGGTCCAAGGCGAGAACAACGGATCTCCGGTCTCCTGCTTCTCCTCTTGTAGCATGTACTTAAATCCAGAAGAAATAAAGCTTCCACTCGTTCATACTTTCTGTGTTCCACAACTCTGTGTTTGGTTTGCTTGTGTGCTGATCAATAGAATAGACTGGTTTCTCAACACGTTATCAGCACGAGACTCTATCGAGCTAAAAAGGTAAACATGTGAGAAATCAGTTTCTACTGATCATCTTGATCTTTATATGCAAATCATTCTTCTGCTATAGTTGAAATAAGCATAAGAACATGGTACCTAAAGTACCATCCCCCGATATCCTCTCAGCAATACACGATAACATGATGGCGGCTCTGCCGCTATTATCGTTCAATTGCTAGAGTTGATACATCCTCTCAGCAACGCCCGGTAACATGATGGCGGCTCTGCCGCCGTTACCGTCCAAAGGCTTGAGATGGTACATCCCCTTAGCACTATTTGATAACACAATGGCGGCTCTGCCGCCGTTATCATCTAAATGCTAGAGGCGATGTAGGTGCCTGAAGCACCGGCATGGCAACTTAATGGACGGCCCTGAAGTGTCGTTATGGATGTCCTTTGTTTTATGGACATCACCCATATGGGCCCTTGATGCCGCTAAGGTCGGCTCTGTCGCCATGAAGCGTGGGCTCTTAGTGGGGAAGTACTATATGGTTTATCTTACTTTTATACAGTCTGCACAATATGCATGAAGTGCCCATGTATGCTCTTCATTTTTTTTACATGCTTACTTTGCTATTTGCATGACTTTCATAACATTAATTTTATTGTTATGAAATTGATTTCCTAGCATGATTGATAATAGTTAATCAAGCAATCTGTAATCCTGAAGATTACTTAAGTTAATTTGCTAGGAAAGATTCTATGGGAAACTGTGTGATAATCCTGAAGATTACGCATGACCAATTCATGTCGACCCTGCACATCGTATTTACCTGTCGTAAATACTAAATGATGTTGCAGAACATGTCGGACATAGCAAAGAAGGAATTCGCCGAGCTTGCCTTGGATGGTAGTAACTACCTCACTTGGGCATTGGACGTTGAGATTAAACTCGACTCCATGGGTCTCGGTCATACTATTGTGCTGCCCGAAGTTGGCACTGTGGAGTCTACGAAGGCCGAGAAAGCAAAGGCATTGCATTTCTTGCGCCACCATCTCCACCCAGACCTGAAGTTTGAGTATATGACCGAGAAAGATCCACTGGTATTTTGGCAATTCCTGAAGGATCGCTTTGACCAGCAAGGGTCAATTGTGCTCCCAAAGGCACAACATGACTGGATCACCCTACGCTTCCAAGACTACATGTCTGTGGCGGCGTATAATTCTGCCCTCCATAGGATCATTTCTCAGTTGCGTTTATGTGGCCTGAAGATCCCTGACGCTGAGATGATCGAGAAAACCTTATCTACCTTTCATCACAACAATATAGTGCTACAACAGCAATACAGGAACTCAAAGTACCCGAAGTACTCTGATCTTATCTTAGTCCTGTTAGTTGCAGAAAGGCAGAATGAGGTTCTTCTAAAGAATCATTCTGCTAGACCCACTGGGTCTATGGCAGTGCCTGAAGCACACGCCAATGTTGTTGGAAACTCGCGTGGCCATAAAAGAGGCCATGGTGAGAAGAAAGGGAAACGTAAGGGAAGTATCATATTCAAGGGCAAGAGTAAGGGTAAACCCAGAGGTAAAGGCGAACTCAAGAAGGTTACAGGTGAATCATCTGGGGAAAAGCAGGATAACTGCTATAGATGTGGAGGCAGAGGGCATTGGTCCCGTAACTGCCATGTCCCCAAGCACCTGGTTGAGCTCTACCAACAAAGCATGAATGAGAAAAAGAGCCAACATGAGTCCCACTTCACCATTGAGCCTGAAGCTCAGATTGAAAAGCATGATGACATGCTTATCAATGTTAAGGATGGTGGGGACGTCCGTATGGACGATGATTGGGACAACCTTCTTGAAAAAGATGATGACATATTTGGAGGCTTGAAGTAATCTCCTATATGTCAGTCATATGCAGTAGAACTTTGGTCATGAATAATGCTCCTGAAGAGCACGCTTAGTCTTTTACTGGGCCTGAAGTCCTTGTAATGTTTCCCTTAATAGAATCAACTTACTCCATGTTTAATTTCATTTATGTTTATGTTCCATAAACAGACTTGGGTGGGAATCCCATGGCAGAAGAGGATATATGTCTAGTAGACAGTGCCACCACTAATACAATCTTAAGGGAAACTAGATATTTCCACACCTTAACTAAGAAAACTGGAAATATTATTACCATTGCCGGAAGTAATACTCATATAGTAGGCACCAGAAGTGCTACTCTAGTTCTCCCTATGGGTACCTATATCTTTGTAAAGGATGCTCTATTGTATCCTGATTCAAAGCGTACCCTCTTAAGCTTTAAAGATATCCGTGCAAACGGTTTCCATATAGAAACCGAGATTGAGCAAGATGCTGAATATCTGCTCATAACAAAAATAGATGGATATCAAAAGCATGTGGTGGAAAGGCTCCTTTCATCGCCATCGGGTTTGTACTACACGTACATAAAACCCACTGAGGAATATGTTCCGATGAAGACCATATTTAGAAACCCAGAGTCATTTAGAGTTTGGCATGACAGGCTGGGTCATCCTGGGTTGGGTATAATGAGGAGAATCATCAACAATTCTCCTGGCCACAATGTTGAAACTAAAAACTTCCCTAATCCTGAAGATTTTATTTGCCCTGCTTGTACAAAAGGGAAGTTGATCACTAGGCCATCCCTCCTGAAGATTAGGGATGAGTCACCTGTTTTCCTGGCAAGGATACAAGGTGACATATGTGGACCTATCCAGCCCCTGTCGGGCCCGTTTAGGTATTTCATGGTACTGATTGATGCTTCTACCAGGTGGAGCCATGTGGACCTATTATCCACAAGGAACCATGCTTTTCCAAAGCTAATTGCCCAAATCATCAGGCTAAAAGCTAGCCTCCCTGATAGCTGCGTACAATTCATTCGAATGGATAATGCTGGTGAGTTCAGGTCGAAGGCTTTTGATAATTATTATTTAGCCATGGGCATTAAGGTAGAATATTCAGTACCACATGTCCGTACTCAAAATGGCCTAGCTGAGTCCTTGATCAAGAGGATCAAGTTGATTGCACGGCCACTGTTGTAGGATTGTAGGCTACCAACCAGTTGTTGGGGCCATGCTGTGTTGCATGCAGCAACACTAATCCAACTCAGGCCAACTGCATATCATAGTATATCCCCTCTTCAGCTAGTGCGTGGAAAAAAACCAAGTATTTCCCATCTGCGCAATCCCACCACCACAGCGTACTTCTATGGGACCCACCGGAAGTTGGGGATATACGTTGGTTATGAGACTTTGTCCATAATCAAGTATCTTGAGCCTATGACTAGGGATCTTCATACGGCTCGGTACGCTGATTGTATCTTTGATGAGGACTATTTCCCAGCATTAGGGGGAGAAAAGCATCCAGAAAAATGCCAAGATATAATATGGAATGCAACTGGGATGCAGTCCTTAGATCCACGCACTAGTGAAGCTGAACTGGAAGTTCAGAGAATCATAAATTTGCAAAATATTACAAATAAGTTGCCAGATGCCTTCACTGATTACAAGGGAGTGACAAGGTCGCATATACCTGCAGTAAATGTGCCGGAAAGAGTAGAGGTAACCCAGAAGGATACTGACTCTGCTCTTACCCCCCCATCCTAGGAAGAGGGGGAGACCTCCGGGTGCTCGGGACAAGGTTCCGCGGAGACGTCATGTATCGGCAAGTATCAGCCGATCATGCATTAACCCAAACACTTGGGTAATATTTCTTCAAGTACTTGTCATTTAGTGCTCGTCCATAAACTTCTCCATCGAGTCCTTGCAACATGTAAGCTCCCTTGGACACAACTCGATAGATTTGGAACGGTCCTTCCCAATTCGGCGACCACTTGCTGAATTTGCTATCCCGAATTTACTTAACAAACTCATCGGACACGAAAATTGAACCCTGATCAGTTGTAATGGTTTGAGGAATACCAAATCGATAAATTATATGCTCTTGAACAAATTGTATAGCATCCCCAGAATCAACCTTCTTCAAAGGAATTGCCTCTACCCACTTGGTAAAATAATCGGTCGCCACCAATACCTTTACTCGATGGTGGATTAATCATGCCGATCATATCAATTTCCCAACCTCTAAATGGCGATGGCTTAATGATAGGATTCATAGCCGACGCCGGTGCTCTCTGAATTGCTCCAAACTTCGGACAATCCTGACATCCTTTGTAATACTTGAAACAATCCTCTAGCATTGTTGGCCAAAAATACCATGCACGTCGAAGTAACCACTTCATCTTATGAGCCGATTGATGAGTACCACAAATTCCTTCATGAACTTCGCCGCCGATAGCACCTTAGCCTGATCGGCACTCAAACACTTAAGCAACACCCCATCAATCGTCCGATAATAAAGTTCATCATCTAATAAGGTATACTTCAACGCTTTATATCTTAATTTCCGAGAAGTCGATTGGGATGGATTCTGTAAATATTGATGCAGATCATATCTCTAATCATCGGCTGTTACTGCAGCTACTTCAACCTTAACATCTTTGATCATCGGCTTATACCCCGATGCCCCTTGGGCCAAATCATTAGCTTCAATGTTTTGTTCTCGAGATAGATGCTTCAAAGTAACCAGCCGAAATTTCTTCATTAGTTCTTGGCACTTCTCATTATAAACCATTAATGTATCATTCTTGCATTCATATTCTCCTACCAATTGACTGGTTACCAGCAAAGAATCCTCCATGATTTCAATCGCATCGGCTTCAACTTCCTTAAGTAATTGTAATCCTTTAAGCACTGCCTCATACTCAGCTTGATTGTTAGTTGGATAAGGTTTGATAGTATAAGCAAACTGGAAACATGCCCCCCTAGGGGAAATTATAACTAAGCCGATACCACAACCATTAGTACATACTGATCCATCAAAGAACAAAGTCCACGGCACTATCTCAACTGAGCCGATCGAATCATCACGATGTTCTATAATAAAATCGGCTATAGCTTGCCCTTTGACTGCCTTCGGTGACTCATAACGAAGATCAAACTCAGTTAAGGAAAATATCCACTTTCCAACCTTTCCTTTCAAAATTGGAGCCGATAACATGTACGTGACCACATCGGCCTTGCATATGACACTGTACTCATTGGACAATAGATAATGCCTTAACCTTGTATATGAAAAATATAAGCACAAGCACAACTTCTCCACAGGAGAATATCTAGTTTCTGCATCCAAGAGCCGACGACTTAAATAGAATACAACTCTCTCTTTCCATTCAAGCTCCTGAATCAAGACTGAGCCGATTGACTTCTCACTGGCCGACAGATATAATATAAAAGGTATTCCTTTCTGTGGAGGAATCAAAACTGGAGGAGAACTAAGATATTCCTTAATACTATCCAAAGCCTTATGTTGCTCTGCCCCCCAAGTAAACTGTTGATCGGCTTTCAATCTTAACAATGGTGTAAAAGGCTCTAACCTGCCAGACAAATTAGAAATAAACCTTCTATCAAAATTTATCTTGCCGATCATTTCTTGCAATTCTGTCTTGTTCTTCGGAGGCTGAATCTTCTTTATTGCATTAACACTCCTTTGAGTCACCTCAATCCCCCTCTCATGAACAAGAAATCCCAAAAACTGGCAAACCGATACACCAAAAGCACACTTTGTTGGGTTCATATTCAGGCCATATTTCCTGGTTCTCTCAAAAACCTTCCTCAAATCGGCTATGTGGTCTTCTATCTCTTTAGACTTAACAACCACATCATCAATGTAAACCTCAACCAACCAGCCGATTAGATCATGATATATATAATTCATGGCTCTTTGATATGTAGCCCCAGCACTCTTTAAGCCAAAAGTCATTACAACCCACTCAATCAAGCCGATTGCACCAGGACACCTAAAAGCTGTCTTATTGATATCTTCCTCGGCCATAAAGATCTGATTATATCCTGCATTACCATCCATAAAACTCAAAATCTTGTGTCCCGAGGCAGCATCAACCAGCTGATCGGCTACTGGCATTGGATATTCGTCTTTCGGGGTAGCTTTATTCAAGTTTCGGAAATCAATGCACACCCTGACCTTATCGTTCTTTTCGATAACAGGAACTATACTAGAAACCCACTCATTTTATCGGCAAGGACGAATAAAACCAGCATCATACAATCATTTAATCTCAGCCTTGACAGGTTCAAGCATATCGGCTTTACATCTTCTCGAAGGTTGTTGGTGTGGCCTAACCCCTGAGTCCAGGCATCTCATAATATTCCCAAGCGAAACAATCTCTGAATTCTTTCAATAGTTCTATCAACTTGGTTCTGAATTCCGAAGAAAAATTCTTGCTAATAAATGTCGGCCTTGGTCGATCATCTGGACCTATGTCAATTTCTTCCAAATCATTGGCCGACATGAAACCCTGTCCTTGTTTGTCATCGAGATCATCTACTGTGCCCTTGGTGTAGACATTTGAACCCTCCACGACGCCCTCAAAATAATAACTTGGTTTCTCCATCTTCAATTGGCTGTATATCAGAATTGGACACTTTTAGAAAATCTCCATCCCAAACTTTTCCAGATAAACAATGTAGACCATCCATCTCCCAAAGAGCTAAATCGGCACTGGCAACATTGACTGACCTGTCGGCTGGCACAATTTCAATCTTGTCATCTTGCCACTAAATCAAGCATTGATGCATGGTTGAAGGAATACAACAATTGGCATGAATCCAATCCGTTCCAAGCAACAAGCTGTAGGAACCCTTCCCATTGATGACAAAGAACGTTGTAGGGATGGTTTTGTTGCCGACTGTCAGCTCCACATTCAAAACTCCTTTGGTCTCTGATGGATTGCCACCAAAATCCTTAAGCACCATATTTGTCTTGATGAGATCCTGAGCGTTTCTGCCCAACTTTCTGAATATAGCATAAGGCATCAAATTCACTGTAGCCCCACCATCGACCATTATTTTGGACATCAACTTCCCATTGACATAACCATTTATATACAATGGCTTGAGATGCCGATTCTCTGTACCCTCTGGCTTCTCGAAGACTGCTTGTTCTGGTGACAAAATCAATTTAGCCGATTCTTCTTCAACATCATCGACATCGGCTTGCTTGACCCCAAACTCGGTAGGCAACATGAAAACCATGTTAACCGATGCAGTTACAACACTTTTTCCTTTGGCCAATCTCTTTGCTTCATCGGTCGTGGCTTCATCGGCTGCAGGAACCTGATTTTTAACACGCCACTCCTGCCTTGGCTTTGTTTTCTTTAGCCGATGACTGATTTCCTGTTCAACCTCCTGAAAACGTTCCCGGTTC